GAGGTCTGATTGATTTGCTGAGGCTAACTGTGCCATTTCATGTGCTGAAGGATAAAAGTGAGCTTATCCAAATGTGAAATTATACATTTGGACAATTCGCACTATAGAGGTTTTGCATTTTCTTTGATTTTGGAACAATCCCACATTACAAATAAGGGCGTAACATTCAAATGTAATATTCGAATAAGGTAATACTCCAATGTAATACTAAAAAAAAACTTATGAGTGTACTTTTTCCAAATGTAATGCTGTTGAATCATTATTATAAATAGTGTTGGGTCAATCCCATATCGACTAGAGAAAGGATTCTCACTTCCACCTCATAGTGCACTGGCTCCCTCTACTTGTCAATAGGTCCTTCCCCCTGATGAGGAACAAAACTGTGAGGCTTCGGCTAAAGCCGACAATATATTGACGAGGCGCCAGAGGACAAGCATCGCGAAATTTAGAGCTAGAAAGGAGGGCTGTCCGGCAAACTCTCCCATTATTGCGACCCAGTCCGCTGGGGGTTATGTTGGGTTAATCTTACATCGACCAGGGAGGAACTTCCACTTCCACCTTATAAGTGCACTGCCTCTTCCACCTGTCAATAGGCCTTTTCCTTCGTGGAGGAACAAAATCGTGAGGCTCTGACCAAAGCGGACAATATATTAATAGGGCGTGAGAGTATAGGCGTCGCGAAATTTGGCTCTAGAAGGAGGGTCGTCCGGCAAACTCTCCCACTGTTGTAGCCTAGTCCGCTGGGGGTTATGTTGGGTCAATCCCACATTGACCAGGGAGGGACTCCCACTTCCACCTTATAAGCACAGTGGGCCCCTCCACTTGTCAATAGGACTTTTTCCTCGAGGAGGAACAAAACCGTGAGGCTCTAGCCAAAAGAAGACAATATATTGACGGGCCACGAGAGGACAGGCATCGCAAAATTTGGCATTAGAGGAAAGGCTGTCCGGCAAACTCTCTTGCTATTATTGCTGAGTCCGCTGGGGGTTATGTTCGGTCAATCCCATATCGACCAGAGAGGGACTCTCATTTTCACCTTATAAGTGCACTGGCCCCCTCTACCTGTCAATAGACCTTTTTCCCCAAGAAGGAACAAAATCGTGAGGCTCCAGCCAAAGCGGACAATATATTAACGGGCACGAGAGGACAAGCGTCGCGAAATTTGGCGATAGAAGGAGGGTTGTCCCGCAAACTCTTTCGGTGTTGTGGCCCAGTCTGCTGGGGGGTTATGTTGGGTCCATCCCACATCGACCAGGGAGGGACTCCCATTTCCACCTCATAGGCTCATTGGCCCCCTCTACCTATCAATAGGCCTTTTCTCCCGAGGAGGAACAAAACCGTGAGGCTCCAGCCAAAACGGACAATATATTGATGAGACGCGAGAGGACAAGCATCGCGAAAGAGCCAAATTTCGTGACGCCTGTCCTCCCGCTATTGCGGCCCAGTCCGCTAAGCGCCCCATCAATATATTGTCTGCTTTGGCTAGAGCCTCACGATTTTGTTCCTCCTCGGGGGAAAAAGCCTATTGACAAATGAAGGGGGCTAGTGCGCTTATAAGGTGGAAGTGAGAATCCCTCCCTGGTTAATGTGGGATTGACCCAACATAACCCCCCAGCGGACTGGGCCACAACAGCGGGAGAGTTTGTCAGACAACCCTTTTTCTAGAGCCAAATTTTGCGACGCTTGTCCTCTCACACCCCGTCAATATATTGTCCGCTTTGGCCGGAGCCTCACGGTTTTGTTCCTCCTTAGGGAAAAAGGCCTATTGACAGGTGGAGGGGGCCAGTGCGCTTATAAGGTGGAAGTAGGAGTCCCTCCCTGGTTAATATGGGATTGACCCAACAAATAGCAAATTTAATTCACACATCTTTTTTCTTAGTATTTTTTTTGTGCTAGAGTTTTTAATCCTTACATTACTGAATCACTATACACATAAAATGGATAAAAACTAGGTTAAATTACTATAGAAGTTTTTATTGCCAAATTCTAATTATGGAAGATTAGAATACCAGTAATTATGGAAGAGGAAATATTAATACACTCACCGTAGTTTATACGTTGCCTTATTTTAGGTTATTTCATTTTTAGTGTTTTTATTTTTATTTTTAGTTAAAGTAGTTTATTTTTGAGTGAAGTATCAATAAATCTCAAAATGTGATCTTGTGAACTAGTTAGTTCGTCTTTTTTTCTTATGAACCCAAATGTTGCATTAAAGTTGAAATTATACAAAAGGTAGTCACTAACATGTTTGAGTTTAATTTTTGAAGGATAAAAGTGAGCTTATCCAAATGTGAAATTATACATTTGGACAATTCGCACTATAGAGGTTTTGCATTTTCTTTGATTTTGGAACAATCCCACATTACAAATAAGGGCGTAACATTCAAATGTAATATTCGAATAAGGTAATACTCCAATGTAATACTAAAAAAAAACTTATGAGTGTACTTTTTCCAAATGTAATGCTGTTGCGCAACTCGCGCATCAGCAACTGTTGTGCGGCGAAATGGGCCCATTTCGGGACCCATTTTGATAATCCGAACCGTTCATATTTTAGAATACATCAAATAAAACATGACTGCAATAATGTAACACTCTAATAACGCAACACTCCCAAAAAAAATCTTAGTGTATTTTTGCCAAACATAACACTCCAATTAATGTAATCACAAACATAACACTACAATCAATGTAATTCCAAACGTAACACTCCAATGTAACATACACAAAAACTACCAAAAAATTCTTAGTGTACTTTTTCCAAACGTACATTTGCCCAAAACTTACTAAGAAATTTTGTACTCTTTTTGAAATGGTTTAAAGAATCCCACATCTATTAGGAATGATCTAAAGAATCCCATAATTTTTTTTTTCGAGTGTTATGTTTGGAAAAAATATATTAAGGAGTTTTTTGTGTGTTACATTAAAAAGTTTTTTTAGAGTATTATATTGTGTTACGTTTGGGAAAAGGACACCAAGAAATTTTTTAGAGTGTTACAGTTTGAAATTATACATTTGTCCAAAACTTACTAAGCGTACTCATTTTGAAATGTTTGAAGAATCTCACATCTTTTTGAATGTTTGAAGAATTTCATATTTCAAGTCATTTTTGTATTCTTTTTGAAATGATGAAAAATATCACATTTCAAGCCATTTCAAATAAAAAAGTTCGCATATAGTCTTTAGTAAAAAATAAAATTAAACAAAATTGATTTTTTTTTTTTAATTATCAAGATCATTTAGTCTAGACAAACTTATCAAGTAAAAATTATGACGTAATTTAGGGGAATTTTATTTTTTACTGAACACTAAAAGGGCATTTAGTTTATTTTGTAACTAAATAATATAAAATTTAAATAAATATTTATAAATGGACAGGTTGGGCCGAATTGGACTAAAAACTCCTTATCCAAACACTTTGGCACTATAGATTAAATGTTTTTAACAAGCATTAAAAATATTGGGCTGAGAGGGTCATCTGGCCCATGTCCACCTCTAACTGCATTGACCTATCAGTCAAGTTTTTTTCTTCCACTAAACTTATTGGGTGTTCTTATATTTTACTCATGCATTTACTTATTTAATGTATTATCGATAGTGCTAGAGCCTTTATTTATCAATTGAACCTTTGTTTAATCCAAGATTTTGTTTGGCTGCAAACAAAAAGAACCAATGAATTCACAAAGTACTTAACCAGTAGAAGAAAGGAAGAGAAAAGCATAAGAAATGTTTCATAAGTTGGGTTTGATTCACAGATGAACAGATAAAACTTTGGTTTCAAATTTTTGAATTCAATTTTCTGAAAATTAAGTTTTTGTTTTTTTTTTAATTTTTAGTAAATTTTTTTATTATTGTAAACAATTTTTTTTTAATTTTTAGATTTATCTAACCTAGATGTACTTAAAAAATAAAATATTTTTTAAAAATTGATAAATTCACAAGAATACAAAAATATACTGAATTTTTTTAAAAAAAATTCACAAATATTATATTTTTAATTGTATTTATATTAAGTGTATCTAAAAAGTAAAAAAATTTCTTAAAATATTTAAAACATTCACTAAAAATAAAAAAATAAAAACCCAATTTTTTAAAATTAAATTCACAAAATTGAAACCAAAGTGATTGGTTTCCTGTTCTCCCACACAATAATAAACTCGATTAAATTATGCTGTAATGATTAAGCATAGTTAACAGATGGGGATAAGCACTATAAATAAAGTAACAAAAATTAAGGGCAGAGTGGAAAGAACTCTAAATAATAACCTTGATGCTCTGATTCATTCTTCAAAGTGAGAGAACAGATTGAAAATTCTTTAAAACAGTGCAAAACACAATAGACTTTCAAACTTAATTTGGTGTTTCCAATACCCGGATGGGTTCAATAGTGCCATGGCCTATCTTTCTGTTGATGCATTTTGTTGTTCTTATCTGCTCTGTTCATGGCGGGAATGAGACTGACCAGCTAGCCTTGCTTGCATTCAAGTTTGAAATAACCAGTGATCCATTCGGTGCTCTCAACTCGTGGAATGAATCAATCCACTTCTGTCAACGGTTTGGTGTAACATGTGGCTGCTACAACCAGAGGCTCATTGTGTTGAACTAGGATCATCGAAAATTAACAGGCTCCATTTCGCCTCACATTGGACATCTAAGCTTTCTCAACGAACTATCATTGAGTAACAATAGTCTTAGTTGTTCTTGAATTTTCTGGCAATAGGTTGGGTGGGAAAATTCCAGTGGAGCTGGGTTCTCTGTTTAAGTTAAAGAGACTGTATATTGGGAGAAACAATATAACAGGTAGTGTACCTTATTCTTTTGGGAATCTATCATCTCTTACTGAATTTGTTGCAGAAGAAAATAGTATTGGTGGTGACACACCTGATGATCTGGGTTGATTGACAAACTTGGAAGTTTTTCTGTTGAGGATTAACAAGTTGGTTGGTACCATTCATTTCTCAATCTTTTATCTCTCGCCTATTACAGAATTTAATGTCGTAATGAACCAAATTCAAGGGAGCCTTCCCTGGGACCTAGGAATTACTCTTCCCAATCTTAGTGTCTTTGAAGTTGGTATAAACTCATTTACTGGATCCATTCCTGTTTCTATGTCTAATGCCACTAAACTACGTCGCCTTGGCTTGGCCGGTAATAAATTTACTGGAAAAGTTCCTCCTTTGAACAAACTGCATGATCTTCAACTGTTAAATTTTCATGGCAATGGTTTAGGAACTGGGGAAGCTGATGACTTGAGCTTTCTCTATTCTTTGACCAATGCAACAAATTTGTACGCTCTAGCTCTTAGCAACAACAATTTTGGAGGATTGTTGCCTGAATCAATTGGCAATTTATCCACTAATCTCGGTGAACTAATATTGAGCAACAATGAAATAGCTGGGATCATCCCGAACGGGATGGGGAATCTGATCAATTTGAAGCTTCTTGACTTGTCAAACAACAATTTCACAGGAAACATTCTTGCTGACATTGGAAAGGTTCAAAATCTACAGAAATTGGATCTCTCAAGTAATATGTTCTACGGGGATATCCCATTGTCTTTTGGAAATTTAACTGTGTTGACAAATCTTATGTTATGCAACAATAATATTCATGGTAGAATCTCTTGAAGTCTGGGGAAATGCCAAATGTTACAGGAACTAAGACTTATTCAAAACAATCTTAGTGGTACCATACCCAGTGAAGTTGTCAGTCTCTTATCATTATTGTATCCATACATATTTTGTAATGATTTGACTGATTCCCTTCTAATGGAAATTGAAATTTTAAAAAATCTAGAAGAACGTGATGTTTCTGAGTACATGTTGGCCAGTGAAATTCCAAGCACTCTTGGTAGTTGCTTAAAATTGAGATTACTACATATAGAGAGCAAAAAATTTTGGGGAATCCTTCCTTCATCTTTAAGTAATTTGAGAGGTATGGAGGAGTTAGATCTTTCTCACAATAATTTCTCTAGAAAAATCCCAGACTATTTAGAGGACTTTCCCTTACAAAAATTAAGTCTATCATTCAATGATTCTGAGGGTGCGGTACCAGAAAGTGGCATATTTTAGAACGTAACCTCTATTTCTGTTAAAGGAAATGACAAGCTTTGTAGGGGTATACCCTATGAAGCACGGATACTTCAAATAGGGTGACGTATCCGTATCGTATCCTTATCGGATACCGATACTCCTTGGATACTTGCGGATACGTATCAGATATTTATTAAAAGTATCGGATATTTCTTAATTATTTTTTCATTAATTTTGGAGTATCGGATACTTAATTTTGAAGTATCGGATACTCTAAGTCATGTTTACTTGTGTTTATGAAATTAGAATTGTAACATTTCTTATATAGTAATATAATATAATATAATTGCAAGTATAAATATAAGAATATTTTTCTAATATTTTGTTAAGTTCTTTGATAAGAAGAGCATAGTGGGTTAAATAATAGAATTTATCAAATTGATGTATCCTAATTATTTTATGCATGTCCCTATATAACTACATAGAAAGTAAGAATTAATAAGAGAATATAACAATGGTAAAATTAAATATCAATAAATAAATAAGCAAGTAAATTTGAATACAATATTTTTCACTAGTGTCAAAGGAAAAAGCATAGGGACAAGTTGTAAATTGTTCTATTATTGTAATATAAATATATTAAACTTGATATTGAAATGAAATATTTGCAAGACCTATTAAAAATTTAAAAAGTAAATAAGCTACAAACTTAAATTAATACAAAATTCTTGAATGTTAGTATTTTGCATTATAAAATTACATTGTGATTTCTCAACGTTCTTTAGCTTATGTGTGACTCACTATTAATAATTTTAAATAATATATTTTTCACAAACGTATCCTAGCCGTACCGGTATTATTGTACATTGTTTATTTTTAGCTATGAAACCACCTTACAAATAATTGTTCATTTGTTGAACTGTAGAAAAAATTATATTTATTGGTTATCGATTTATTTATTTATTTTTGTATACTTGATCCAGCTAGCAGTGATGGTTGGTTATTTACTGGGCTATCTAGTTTACCCTTATTTTTTTTCAGATTCTGAAGAGTAGAGCTGCGCGGGATTTTTTTACATGTGGGAGTGCCGAGAGTAGGACCATGATTTAAGTACTTGGATTATTGTTTTGTTAGTGGATTAAATTGGCGGACTTGGTGGACATTTTCATATAAGAACTATTTATTTTTATGGATTTTGGCATTATGACAATTAAGGATTTAATTTGAGCATTTTACATTGTGGGTTATGTGATTGGATTCTTAGCCTTGCATGCTCACTTATATGAGTGTGCGGCGTTGTCACGGAGCTTGGGGCGTGACAGGTATAAACTCATTTACTGGATCCATTCCTGTTTCAATGTCTAATGCCACTAAACTACGTTGCCTTGGCTTGGCCAGTAATAAATTTACTGGAAAAGTTCCTCCTTTGAATAAACTGCATGATCTTCAGCTGTTAAATTTTCATGGCAATGGTTTAGGAACTGGGGAAGCTGATGACTTGAGCTTTCTCTATTCTTTGACCAATGCGACAAATTTGTACGCTCTAGCTCTCAGCAACAACAATTTTGGAGGATTGTTGCCTGAATCAATTGGCAATTTATCCACTAATCTTGGTAAGCGGGATAGGGAATCTGATCAATTTGAAGCTTCTTGACTTGTCAAACAACAATTTCACAGGTAACATTCTTGCTGACATTGTAAAGTTTCAAAAGCTACAGAAATTGGATCTCTCAGGTAATATGATCTACGAGGATATCCCATTGTCTTTTGGAAATTTAATTGTGTTGACAAATCTTATGTTATGCAACAATAATATTCATGGCAGAATCCCTTGAAGTCTGGGGAAATGCCAAATGCTATAGGAACTAAGACTTGTTCAAAACAATACCCTTAGTGGTACCATACCCAATGAAGTTATCAGTCTCTTCTCATTATTGTATCTGTACATATCTTGTAATGATTTGACTGATTCCCTTCTAATGGAAATTGAAATTTTAAAAAATCTAGAAGAACTTGATGTTTCTGAGTACATGTTGGCCAGTGAAATTCCAAGCACTCTTGGTAGTTGCTTAAAATTGAGATTACTACATATAGAGAGAAAAAAATTCTTGGGAATCCTTCCTTCATCTTTAAGTAATTTGAGAGGTATGGAGGAGTTAGATCTTTCTCACAATAATTTCTCTGGAAAAATCCCAGACTATTTAGAGGACTTTCCCTTCTTACAAAAATTAAGTCTATCATTAAATGATTTTGAGGGTGCGGTACCAGAAAGTGGCATATTTTAGAACGTAACGTCAATTTCTGTTAAGGGAAATGACAAGCTCTGTGGGGTTATACCTGAATTACAGCTATACAGTTGCGACTTCAAGGGGTTTCAAGGGGAAAAATTTACTCGAAGCTTGAAATTAATAATCCTCATATCTCTGGGGCTTCTAGGACTAATTCTAATATGTTTCCTATATCCTCGCTGGTGTAGAAAGACTAAAAAAGTACCTTCTTTCAAATATTTAGAGCTCTCATTTTTGAAATTGTCATACAAAGTCTACTTAAAGCTACTGATGGGTTTTCTCCATCCAATAAGGTCTGTGTGGGTAGTTTTGGTTCTGTATACAAAGGAGTTCTTGGTGAAGGTAAAAATGTTGTAGCAGTGAAAGTACTAAACCTTCAACGCCTTGGAGCTTCCAAGAATTTCCTTACCGAGTGTGAGACCTTGAGGCACATGAAACATCAAAATCTTCTCAAGGTTCTCACAGCATGGTCAAGTGTTGACTATCATGGTAACGATCTCAAAGCTCTTGTTTATGAGTTTATGGCTAATGGTAGCCTAGAGGATTGGTTACATGCAAATGAGAATGAAGATGAGGCGCATATATACTCAAGGAATTTAAACCTTGTATAGAGGTTAAATATTGCCATTGATGTTGCTTCTGCACTTGATTATCTTCACAATCATTGCTCAGAAGCAATCGTTCCCTGTGATCTCAAGCTGAGCAATATTCTTCTAGACGATGAAATGACTGCTCATGTAGGTGACTTTGGATTAGCAAGATTCCTTCAAGAAGCTACCGACACGTGGCAAGATGACGCCGACATGTCAGCCAAGGTGCCACGTGTCCTGGACATAATGTCGAAGTTATCTCGGCTAGGCCGAGGTTATCTCCGAAGATATCGAAATCCGAGATAAGCGGATAAGGACAAAAGTCCTAGAATGAAGAAAGACTTCAAGATGGATAGGGATAGTATTCTTAGGGAATCTATCATTATCTCTTGAGGAATCCAAAGTAAGCACAGAACAGGAGTCTATGGGAGTCAGGTTGCTTCTAGTGGGACTGGGATTGGGTTAACTATAAAAGAGGGGCACCCCCGTGAGTCTAAGGTATGCAATTTAGGCTTTGAGCAGTGAATTTAACACTTGATTATCTTTGAGAGATATACTGACTTGATCGTCAGAGTGCCCCCAAGTGGAAGAACCACTGCTCTAGCCTTCTCTTTCTGTTATAGGTTAGCTGGAGCCATCTATTCTGCTGGTACTCTCTAGCTGATTACTAAACGGGCAATGTGATCAGAAAATCACTCACACAATTTGGCACCGTCTGTGGGAAAGAAAGAAGAATAGATGGCCAGTAACGGACAGAAGGAAAAGATTGGGGACAACACTCCTGCTGGGAGTAGCAAACCTATCGACCTTGATATCGAAGGAGACAACCACAATGCAGAAACTCGTGACCAGGGCCACGAAGAGAAGGACGTCGGCTAGACTAGGGACGTACCAAAGAAACCAGATCAAAGCGGATACTATAACGAAGATAACCTCCAGGTATGGAGGGATAGATGCCTACGGAGGGATGAAGAGGTAAAAGAGATGGCAAACAAGTTGGCAGACCTGCAATCGGTCATCAACTTCATGATGCAAAACAATGTGATGCAGCCACCGTTCCCACTGCAGGACACGCCGATTCCAGCGGCCAATACCCAGAAGGGAGGGAAAAAAACAATCCCCGTAGCCCCTCAGCACACCAGGAGTGGAAGACACTCTCACCAACCCAACAGGGAGGTCGGACGAGGAGAGTCCAGAAGGGAAGAATCACAGAGGACGCATTACACAAAGGAGGCAGAGCCCAAAGAACATCGGCATGTTTAGGGGGAAGCACTATGCTTCGACACACCTTATAGAGAAAGATCGAAAAAGGCTCACCACGAAGCCGAGAGCAGTGTACCGAAAAGACTGAAGTCAAAAGATAGCCGAGCTCCTGGGCGAAGCAAAGAAGACTTGAGAAATTACCTCAAGAGGAGGCAGCAGAATGCCTATGCCGAGGTAACTTCACCTACCAAGCCGAGAACACCATTCTCAGTGGAATTAGACAGATTTGAGGCACCAAAGAGATTCAGTATGCCGAGGTTCCAAATCTATGATGGTAAGTCAGATCCCAACTTCCACGTTGGATTATACTTGAATTCAATGGCATCATACAGTGGGAACGAGCCGTTGCTCTGCAAAGTATTCCCTTCATCCTTTGGGGAGATTGCATTAGATTGGTTCCATAAACTACCAAAGGGAAGCGTAAAGACTTGGGAAGGCCTGGCCGAGATGTTTGTGGCCAGGTTTGTGACGAACAAACTATAGCCCTTGAGGGTCACGCATTGATGGCTCTAAAAATCACCAAGGATAAAGGCCTTATGACCTATGCAAAAAGGTACTATGAGGTGTTCAATCGAATATCCGAATGCAACCAGGAGGTGGCGGTCGTGTCTTTCAAGAACGGCCTGAAAGATGACTGTCCATTACGGAAGTCATTGGCAAAAACATTGCCAAAAAGCATGGAAGAGCTCATGGCCAGAATTGAGAAGTATGCTAGAGCCAAGGAAGATACGTCAGGAAACAAGGAGACGAAGCAAGAGAAAACAAACGGCTCGCCGAAGCGAGGCCGAGGTAACAATGGATCGAACAAACAAGAGGCAGAACTAAGGGTTGCACAAGCAGTGACGACTGTGTTCCGAATCCCAATCCACAAAGTCTTGGATCAAATACGGAACCAACCCTATTTCAGAACACCAGCGAGGGCACCAGGGGATTTATGGGAAGGAATGTTGGCAGGCGTTGTGCTTACCACAATGAAGAGAGGCACGTAACTCAGGGTTGTAGAGCCTTGAAAGCATACTTGGAAGATTTGGTAAGGCAAGGCCATCTGAGAAATCTGGTCGACGAGGCCATAACAAGAAAGGAACAGGCAAGGTTGCCTCAAGCACCAGCAGCACCGCCTCCCCCAGCACAGCAACCACAGGCAAGAGGACCTCGGGTGGTTAATGTAATCCACTCGAAGGTAAACGAAAACGACATACGGGGTGAGACCCAGAGGGTGAAACACCTGCAGCACATGAACCAGGTCAGACAGAAAAGACATCGGCCTGAAGAATGCCAGGGACCGATGGTAGCCTTTACTGAAGCCGACCTAGAGATGGTCCAGCATCCGCATAATGATGCCCTGGTAGTATCCCTCCAAGTTGGGGAGTGCCAAGTAAAACGCATCCTGATTGACCAAGGCAGCTCTTGCGACATCATGTATGTTAGATGTTACAAGGAGCTGGGCCTTCACCCAGATGACATGGAGCAATCCAACGGCCCGATGGTCGGGTTCAATGGAACCCCGACATGGCTACTGGGAGCAACAAACTTGGAAGTGCAAGTTGGCACTAAGAAGATCAAGACAGAGTTTACTGTAATCGACACACCCTTCCCTTACAACATCATCTTGGGAAGGCCATGGTTGCATGCAATGGGGGCAGTTCCCTCAACATTGCATCAACTATTGCGGTTCCCAACAGAACATGGGATCGAAGAAATCAGAGGAGATCAACTGCAGGCAAAAAATTGCTTCATAGCAGCAATAAAATCCACCTGCAGCATTCGAGAACCAAAGAAGGCAGAGATCGAAGACGAGGACATGGAGGTCCTAGATGATGTCGGCAAGGAGCCAGTTGAGAAGAGTCAAGAGGCACTGAAGAAAATACTCGTCCAGGAAGGGGATGAAGAATGCTTCTTTCTTCTCGGCTCGAGCTTAGCCGAAGAAGAAGAAAAAGAGTTGGAGGCTTTTTTAAGAACAAACATTGAGGTGTTCGCTTGGACACCTTATGAAATGCTTGGCATTGACCCCGAGGTCACATGCCACAAACTGAACGTTGACAGGATGGCCAAACCTGTAATACAGCGAGCCAGAAGACCAACGTTGATGCACGTCAAAGCAGTGGATGAGGAAGTAGACAGACTTCTGGAGGCTAGGGCCATCAGAGAAGTCAATTATCCGACATGGCTATCAAATATAGTAGTAGTAAAGAAGAAGAATGGTAAATGAAGGGTCTGCATAGACTTTACAAGCCTGAACAAAGCTTGTCCCAAAGACAGCTTTCCTCTACCCAAGATTGACCAGCTGGTGGACGCCACATCTGGACATGGAAGGATGAGCTTCCTAGATGCTTATAGGGGGTACCACCAAATAGCCATGCACCCCCCAGATGAGGAGAATGCAGCGTTTATCACCCCAAAAGGCCTGTACTGTTACAGAGTAATGCCTTTCGGATTGAAAAACGCAGGAGCAACTTACCAAAGGTTGGTAACCAAGATGTTCAAACACCTGATCGGCCAAACAGTAGAAGTCTGCATCGATGACATGGTCGTGAAGACCAAGGAACCTAAGGGTCATCTTGCCGACCTGTCAGAGGTCTTTGAAATCCTCAAAACATATCAGCTCCGACTCAACGCATCGAAGTGCGCATTTGGAGTTGAATCCGGTAAGTTTTTGGGGTACTTGGTGACCAGAAGAGGCATTGAGGCCAGCCCAGATTAGATCAAGGCCATCCTAGAGTTACAGAGCCCGACATCGGCAAAATAGGTACAAATGCTTACTGGAAGGGCCGCAGCCCTAAACAGGTTCATAAGCCGAAGCTCAGACAAATGTAAACCTTTCTTAAACCTAGTGAAGAAGGCCACGGACTTCCTATGGACGGAGGAGTGTGAAGAGGCTTTGGCCGACCTAAAGAAATATCTGACCACGGCTCCGGTCCTCTCAACACCTGAACTTGGGGAAGAGCTGTTTTTGTACTTAGCGGTTTCGGAACACGCAGTAAGTGCAGTGGTAATCCGAGAAGAAAAAGCGGAGCAAAAGGCTGTTTACTATGTAAGCAAGACCTTGGCCGATGCAGAAACAAGGTATCTACCCTTAGAAAAATTGATGCTGGCCTTAGTAATGGCTTCAAAGAAACTAAATCATTACTTCCGGGCCCACAAGATTGTGGTGCTAACAGAACACCCACTAAAGTCCTTGTTGCAACAAGGAGACTTAACAGGAAGAATAGCCAAATGGGCAGTAGCCTTGGGCCAGTATGACTGGGAGTTCAAGCTAAGAACAGCAATCAAAGGCCAAGTTTTGGCCGACTTCGTGGCCGAGTTCACGCTAGATTCCATCGTACACCAGGCTCCGTTGAGCCGGGGAGAGCAATGCCCAAGCAAGGAGAAAGAAGCACAGCCGAATGCAACACAACGAAGGAAAGAAAAGAAACTCAGACCCTGCGGCATTTACATCGGTAACTCCTTTCGACTGTTCGTTGATAGGAGTTCAAACCGACAGGGAGCGGGGGTAGGAGTAGTACTGATATCTCCAGATGGGGAGATATTGGAACAGTCCATTCGATTGGGGTTCAAGGCCTCAAACAATGAGGCAGAATATGAAGCATTGATTGCAGGACTAAAACTGGCAGCAGCAGCAGAAACAGATAAGGTAATAGTCTTTTGTGACTCGCAACTTATAGTCAACCAAACAACGGGCGAGTTTGTAGCAAGAGATGAAAGGATGTCGGCCTACGCAAAAGAGGTCATCAGATTGGCGGCCTTATTTCAGAACTGCC